TTAACACATGTGTTGACACTTCTACTATCCAGAAAGTAAATCCAAGATTTTTAAAATACTAATTCACTCCCCCTCTTGGTATTTCGCCTAGCCTTTAAATCTTTCAAGGGGGTAGGGCACTATAAGGGGGGTTGTGGAAGAAACAAATCATGGGAGGTGGGGGTGCCTCGAAACCCCAGATTATGGCTCTTACTTGTCATCTTTTCTTCCCCATTGCCCTCTCCTTCTATGATGAAATATTGTTTATGGGAGGACACCATCCTTGTTACTCTTGATTCCGTTGCATTTTGAACATTGTTTTGTTACACATTGACTCATTATATCATTTTTGTTGAAGAAATCACTAAAGTCAAGTTCTTTAGCATTACTAGATCCAAAATTGTTTGATCTTACAACCAAATTGACATAATAAACAAAATTAAAATGAGAAAAATTTTATTTGACTTATATTTCAGATGAAAAATCTAAGTAAATCTTATAGAATCACCAATAATTATGAGAAATTATTTATAGCACTAAATATTGACAAACAAAAAGTAACACAATTGTTTTGTTTTCAAGAAAAAATATAATATTAATAATATGTTAAATGTTTTAACAAATAATTGAGTCTATAGTGCTTCTAAGATTTTACAAGAAAAATGACTAAATCTGTTCTATCAGATGTAGATAGAAACATTGTTGGTGGAGTTTGTAATGATTTGATTGTCTTTAGTCAAGAGGGAAGACCATAATGAAGAATTAGGTAAAATATTATCTGCATCCAAAATTTAAAAGTTTTCTATTATATTACTTTTTTTGATCATTGTGTTTCAATGTCAATCTTGAATCACAAATTGTAAAAATAGAATAGAGTTCATGATATGAACCCAAGTATTATAACACTCACAAATAATAAAATAAACCAAAACTTAAGGACAAATATGACATATTTGGGGATCAATTGATGATTCAATTTCACACTGAATTGATTGAGATATGAGTGTTTTTTAATAAGGAAAAAAATTAATTTCATATTAATCATAAATAAAAAAATAAATTAACATTAAAAAATATGTTCTCGTGCCCCTAAAATAACTATTTAAATTTTGATGGATGAAAGAATAAGATTCAAAACAATTATGAGATAACTAATTATTACATAATAGGATGATTGTTAGTCTTGTTGATGCCCCTCAGTTTTAATACTCTGAGTGAAAATTTATTTACATAATATTAAAAAATATTTACTAAATATTTATTGAACATTAAATAGATTTCATGAGAACTTATGTTACAAGTTTAACATCTCTAAAAAATATTCAAGTTGTATATTGATGATGGTTGAATAATTCTATAGCTAACAAACAAATCTAATGAGTTATATCCTTGATATATTCATATGTTGAATATAATACAATTTCATATAGTTGGTATATAAGTATAAGAAATCAAGTGTCAACATATGTGACTAAGTTTATATAAAACTAAGAAATACGAAGTCACCAAATGGATTTGAATTCAAAACTTGAACGATAGAAAGTTAAAAGCCTTAACAACAAAAACATCAAGAAAATAAATGAGTACTAATTCAAGTACAAGATTCTAACTTAGGACCTGAGTGATGAAAAGGTGGAACCTTGGCAACTAAAATACCTCATAATCACAAAGGAACAAAGTCATAAGTATATTCAAAATTAGAACTTGAACAACATGTTATAAAACTAAGCAAAGAAATATTTGAAAAAAATCAGAACATCAATGTCTCTAACAAGATTTGAACCCAAGATCTGTACAACAACAAATATGAAGCATTGTGGGATGTGATTGAAAAGTCACGAAATGAGAGAAGTCTTTGCCATGTATCCAAAATGGTAACATGTTAGTAGAACATGTGGACAAAATGACAAATTAAATAGACTTATTTGGACTTGAACCCAAAAGTACAGATGATTATTGATAAATTATGAATCTCTATATTGAGTTTTAAGTACAATGGATGTGAGAATAGTAAACTTTGAAGTAAGGAATGAGTAAAGATACATGTATCTTGAATAGTGACACATCAGTAAAATACATAAAAATAATGATAAGCCCAATGGCTTTATTTGATCTTGAATATCTAGATAAAATTTCGATTAAAATGGATGTGTGAATAGAAATTTGAAAGAAAAGAATAAACAAATATCACTAATGCATTAAGGAACTAATGGAAAGAAATTTAAATTCACATGACCATTTTTTAGATGAAGAAAAGGCAATAGAATGTTAGATAATAAAAAGGAGTGTGGATAAAAAAATTAATCATAAATGAAGACATCATTACTACATTCATTTTCACTCAAAATAATATTATTCTCTATTTTACAAAGTCAAGCTGCCATATGCTTTAATGAAGAACTTTAAGTACATCAAATATCTTATTCTACAATATTGATTCATGTTAACATTTGTTTCAAAGTTGACTCTCTCTTTCAGGCCCTAAGGTACCTAGGTGGTGAGTGGAGAGAGGTTTGGGCTAAGGCATGTGGTATTGATAGCCTAGTAATGTCCATGAAGGATGTGGTTTCTAAAGAGACTAGTGTATTTGGACTAAGACATGTGGTGATAAGAGCTTATTTGTGTTTGAAAAAGATGTAATAGCTACATAGATCATAATGGTGTGGTTGGGTTGTTGATCTTGTGAAATCAATATATATTTGTAATAAGAAATAGTGAACTTAGGAATAAAGTTCATTTAAGGCAAGAACTAGTAAAGTGAGGGATAAACTAGTATAAAAATTCTTAGTGTCTTTGACAATGATGAGTGCATGAAGTAAGAACTCATGTAGAGAGAAAAAGAGGCATGAGTAAACCTGTACTCAAAACTAGAAAGTTGTGTGAATATCTATGTTAACACCTCTTCACATATACAAAAAATAAAGTAGAATATAAATCATGGGAAATCAATTCACTCCCCTTAGTGTTTCACCTGGTCTCATGGAACCCTTCATGTCTTACATGTTAGTAATTGTTACAAATAAAGAAATATGTATAGAAAGTATGGATGTCAGTTGACTATATTGATTTGGATTAATATCACGTATAAGTGAAAAACTCTTTCTCCTATGTCCACCCACACTCACTCTTGCCTCCAATGTGTCTAATGAATAGATAATGGACAAAAAAATTATTTTGATTTATAGTAAAGCAGATAATCATGGACTTTATAACATTTTTTAATTGTATGCCAATGTAAGTTCCAATGAGTACAACATGGATGACATTGACTATTGTAATGAGAAATTATAATAGTAAAAATAATAACATTGAATGTAATAATACAAAGAGACAGTTAAATGTTGATATGTCTCTAATACTCTTCTTGACATACAAGTGAGAAAGCCTTGTTTATAGATGGAATGGGATCCATAACCAATAGTTGAGCCCAAATTTGAGAAAAAGAATAATTTAAACCCCTAAAAGATGATATCAAATATTATAATTGAAAATAACTTCTAAGCTCTTTTACTCCATAATAATAGTTCTCATAAAAGCATGAAGGTTAAAAATCATTCAAATTCTCATAAAGTCTTCAGCTTGGTGAAATATGTGGCTACATAGTCTTGATTCAGTCCATTATTAAATAATTTACGATATAATTGAAAGAATTTGGGCCCATTGTCTTGGTCAAATATTTCTATAAGGCCTTTTTAAATTTTGTGTACAATTCAAAAATTAATAATATTTGAGAAGAGTAATGCCTATTTTGGCTAGTTTTGATATTGAACCATCAATAAAATTTATTTTATTTTCTTAGATAATGAAATAATCATGGCTCAACTCTAGGAACCATAATTGTTTATTATAAGTGGTTGTGATAGGATTAAACCTAGACTATTTGAATGATGTAGAAAATAGGGGATCAAGTGATCATCGAAAATGTGATGTCATTCAAAAAGTAATTAAGCTTTTGAAAAAAAAATATGAATGTTGGTATAAATTAACTCATCTAGAGGGCCTTGACTTTGTACTCTCTTTGTAATGATTAAAATGTGATTTAGAAGATCATTAAGATTCCTTCAATAATTGAGTAGCACCATATCTTATCCAGTGGCTGTGAGATGGTGACAAAGTATGATATAGAGATGTAAAAAAGAACCTCGAAAAGATTTCTCATTGTCTTCCTCTAAATTGCTTTCTATCCTTAGGATTAGACGATAGTCAAGCTTGAAATATCATTAGAAATGGCTTGGAGAGATGAGGAGATTGACAATGGTGATGGATGTCTCACCACATTTTCTAATGCTATCGCTACCCTTAGAGTATGAAGCTGGACATGGTTGAAATAGCACCACCGATGACTCAAGGAGATTGAAGATTTTGCAATACTAGAAGCCCTAATTCCACTTGAGAAGTTGGAGATAATTCCTAACCCTAATCATGAAGTAGATCTGGAAATGGCTTGAGAAGTTGACAGTGAGGGAAGCCCTGACTTTGCTGTGATAGTGATGGAAACTTTAATACTATGCCACGAAAAGGAGAAAGGGAGAAAAATCATGAAATTAATTATATTTATAACGTTCATCCCTTTTAATACATGGGCTCCACATGTGTTTACTCTCACGTGTGAGACCCCTTAGAGGCCTTGTGGCTTTCTTGGGGAATGGAAGAGACGATGAAGGCAAGAGTGAGAATACTTGGGTTCTATGTGGAAAGGCAACTTTTTTCCTAAGAATCAGATTTATCAGTTGTTAAATTTATTACCAATATAGTAGGACAAATTCCTCATTTCCAAGCAGGAAATAAGCCGTCAACTTTCAGAACTTTTTAAGTCAAGAGGTTTTACGAGGGTTTATTCTAAATTAATAAATATAGGAACTTTTTTTATGCATGGATTAACTTTAGTGGATGTAAATTTAATATAGAAGCTTTGGAGGTCCGAAAAGATAAACATGGATTTCCTTCTGTAACCGGGGCTGTTCTCGTTTCAGAACTTATTCTTCAGACGGGATGGGATCCTTAGCTCCAGGCTACCACTTTCAGGGGTAGTACCCGCCGGCGCCTCCCGGATAGCCGCCGTAGATGTCGGCCCCGCCGACGCCATGGCTGGCGCCGCCGCCCGACCCTTGCCCGGCGCCGTACCCAGAGCCATGATCGCCTCCGGCACCGTAGCCGTTGCCGCCCCCGTTGCCACCGCCTCCGCCGTATCCGCCACCGTGTTCGCCGCCGGCCCCGTAGCCGGCACCGCCTCCGCTGCCGCTGCCGTAGCCGGAGCCGCCTCCGCCATTACCGGGCCATCCGCCGTAGCCACCACCATGCAGGCTTCCGACTCCATAGCCAGCACCTCCACCGCTGCCACCCCCCCCGCCGTAGCCGCCGCCGTGCTCTCCTCCAGCGCCATAACCAGCACCTCCGCCACTGCCAGTGCCGCTGCCGTAGCCGCCGCCGTGCTCTCCTCCGGCGCCATAGCCAGCACCTCCGCCACTGCCAGCGCCGCTGCCGTAGCCGCCGCCGTGCTCACCTCCGGCGCCATAACCAGCACCTCCGCCACTGCCACTGCCGCTGCCGTAGCCGCCGCCATGCTCACCTCCGGCGACATAGGCAGTACCTCCGCCACTGCCAGTGCCGCTGCCGTAGCCGCCGCCGTGCTCTCCTCCGGCGCCATAGCCAGCACCTCCCCCACTGCCAGTGCCGCTGCCGTAGCCGCCGCCGTGCTCACCTCCGGCGCCATAACCAGCACCTCCGCCACTGCCAGTGCCGCTGCCGTAGCCGCCGCCGTGCTCACCTCCGGCGCCATAACCAGCACCTCCGCCACTGCCAGTGCCGCTGCCGTAGCCGCCGCCGTGCTCACCTCCAGCGCCATAGGCAGTACCTCCGCCACTGCCAGTGCCGCTGCCGTAGCCGCCGCCGTGCTCACCTCCGGCGCCATAGCCGGCACCTCCCCCACTGCCAGTGCCGCTGCCGTAGCCACCGCCGTGCTCACCTCCGGCGCCATAGCCAGCACCTCCGCCACTGCCAGTGCCGCTGCCGTAGCCGCCGCCGTGCTCACCTCCGGCGCCATAGCCAGCACCTCCCCCACTGCCAGTGCCACTGCCGTAGCCGCTGCCGTGCTCACCTCCGGCGCCATAGGCAGCACCTCCGCCACTGCCAGTGCCGCTGCCGTAGCCGCCGCCGTGCTCACCTCCGGCGCCATAGCCAGCACCTCCCCCACTGCCAGTGCCGCTGCCGTACCCAGAACCATGCTCACCCCCTGCCCCGTAGCCGGAGCCTCCCCCACTACCACCACCGCCGCCGCCACCATGGCCGACTTCGTGTTCCCCCCAGTTGCCATAGCCTGCATGGCCGCCCTGTCCTCCCGCACCGTACCCGGCGCCGCCGCCCGAGCCTCCTCCGGCGCTATACCCACCGCCATGCTCCCCCCCGACTCCATACCCACCGCCATGCTCCCCCCCGACTCCATATCCGGCGCCAGAACCACCTCCGCTGCCGCCTCCAGTACCAAAGCCGTAAGGTCCCCCTACCCCATACCCGGCCCCAGAACCACCGCCACCGCCGTAGCCCCCTGCAGCTCCTCCCCAGCTTCCGTAGGCTCCTCCAGTGCCATGACCGGCGCCATAGGCTGACTCTTCGAAGGTGAAGAGGGATCTACCGGCGGCGCAGAAGTGCGCCCCAAGTAGCACCAAAAATGCTGCACCAAGAACCCTAAGACTCGCCATCACAGGAGAGAGCAAAGGATGGAGAAATCAAGGCAAGAGTGAAGGGTACTTATAGAAGCGATGGCATGTGAAAAAAGTGAGGGGGGAGCACATGCCTAGGGTAGACGACGGCTTTGCGTCCCCATCTCCCTCTTTCTCAGCTTCTGCGCACTGGCTGTACTGCATATTATCATGGTTATGCATCGTTCTCTCATGACCGAAGCCTTTCATCACTTCCAAACGACTGGAACCACTCCAACCGATCGAGCGTATGGCTCTGGTTTAAAGTTCGGCATTGCACCCTCAGGGATGATGATGATGATAGTGGTGGTGGTGGTGGTTGAGTGCCAGCCAGGCTCCCCTGTAGAACTATTAAAGATTCTCTTCTTATTATTATGGTGTTGCAAGGATCTTTGAAGGTAGGACAACATAGAGGAAGGGAGTCTATCAATATGGTTTCACACTATATGACGCAAATTAATCTCACTATAGATTGGAAGTGATTAATTTATGTTGTCGATCAACTTGGCTATTTAATAAATTATGAAAGCTCTTTGTTAGCATAATTCATGTTGTTAAACTGTGAGTTAAATGCGCAATGCTACTCAATTAAATAGTTTGTTAGCATATAACTATATCAATAATTGTGGTAACTAATTTGCTAATTGTTAATTATTCTTGACGGATGATCTGATGCTTTCAAACTAAAAGGAGAAAATTATACTTCAGTGATCTAAATATTAATAATCTATTCCAGTATTTCCTCTAAATATTTTAAGTAATCCTAATGTTCATAATCAATGTTTGTCAATGGTAATAGTGTTTCATTTCCTAAAGTTTACATTAGCTGATCAGCATATGAGATAGGCACTTGAAAAACCAAGGTTTTTTTAAGCCTGATACTCAGTCGTGCTATCATAATTATTTCCTATTAATGCACTTTTTTCTTTATAATTTAAGTCATTAGGTTAAAGCATCTCGATATTAGTCTCCACTTAAAATTAAGTTCGCTTTATTTCTTCCTTCAGAAATAATGAAAATACTAAATTATTAAATTGGAAATTTATGATAAAAAAGTTACAGTGATTCTGTTAAAACATTCCAAGTCCGCTTAAAAACTTTGAACTCTTAACAAGCCAGGCGACTTACACCTCGGCATGAATACATAGCTGATAAATTGACGGGCTCAAGCCGGGTTGGGCCTGAGATCAATGAGATTCGCCCCGTTTATGCCTTCGTACTGTATATTTTGATTTAAATCGAGAAGAATTGGACTGAGATGAGCCTCTCGGCCTTGAAACCAGTGAGCTGGATGCTGTTATCCGTTCCTTTTCCTGTCACAAAAACCCACTCGCCAACCCACGAACTACTAACCAAGAAGGGAATGCCTTATCTTCATTCTGGTCCGACGCTGGCGCCCTTGATCGTACGTAGACAACTCGATAAGTGTGTTTCTGTATAAAAGACATATAACTCATGCACAGACCATCGCCATGCTGTCTTCACTCGCTTGTCGCACAGAAAGCGAGAGCGAGAGAGAGAGAGAGAAGTAGAGCTATCCAAGTTGAGACGTTGCCTGTTCCCCCCACATGAAAGGGGAGAACGAGAGAGAGGGAGAGCAGACGGGGGCTAGCTGCATACAGTGATGTATATGAATGATCGTCCATTAGCGAAGTTTCATCACAGTTTTACCGTTCATGTATATGTGTATAGATTCAGAGAGGAAGAAGAAATAGAGAGGGGGAGGCTCGCAGGATATAGTGATATAAATGAATGATCTTCCGTAAGCTGAGGTAGCGAGCTTGCAACTTAGTCTGACCGTTCTATTCTAGGGTAGGAGAGGACGCCGGAATCCCTTGTTCGGGAGAACTAACAGATTGAGCCCCACTGGTTCTCCAGCAACTCCATTATCTCCACACGCATCAGCTCCATGGTTGGAGGAAGAGGCCACCAGACTCGGCTTCTGGCTATTGTTATCTCTCTGAGATTGGGCCTTCTGCCAACACAATGGAGTGCCCCAAGATCCCCATAGGAACCTCCAAGTCTTCTCTCAAGTCCTTTCCCCCGGCTTTCAAGCACTTTAAGATGATACTACAGAGTTCGTTCTATTTTCAGATAATGTGGAGTTTTAGATCTCGAATAGGACAATCTAATCATTTCGAGCCAGACGTGATGTTCCTTAGTTTTTTCTGTGTAATGAACACTTTAGTTATTATTCATAGAAAACATTTTATATTTATCTGCATTATCTTAATATAATCACTCTTGTCGCTGACCACCTAAGTAACAGTAGAAAAATCATTGTATAAGGATTTATATTTTTGAAATGAAAAGCGAATTTTCACATAAAACAACAGAAGACGAGAAAAAAGAAAGGACTCGGTCATCCCTCATGGAAGATCCAGCCAAGGACATTGTGGTGTGAGGGATTCTATTTTTACGGCACGAACCCACCTCAAAGTCTTCGTCTTGGTGGCGTCATCATTGCTCAGACTCACTTCACGAACCCAGCACGCCGGCGGCGGCTGAATCTCTCCTCACCCGAAGGAGTGATTTCGTCTTAATGATGGCTGTTCCAGGCGACGGATTCTTCTTTCGACTTCATTGCGGCCCTTGCCATCGCAGGATCTTCATCTCCCCACGAACTGAGACTTGTGCTCTTCTTGTTCTCCATGTCTGCGACCACCAGGCGAATCTCCTTTCATCATCTTTCTGTACCAAGAAAGATCCGGGAGGCAGACTTATCGCATGGGACCGTGACACAACAAAGCGTCTCTTCTAGAAGAGAAAGCTATTGCTTTCCTGACAGAACAGATGCTCCCTTATCACGGAATATCATCATTCTCTTTTGTTGCTGAGGTAGAGACACTTACTCCATCCGGACTCGATGACAATAGAGAGAGAGATGGGCAAATAGATAGGGAGAGGGAGAGAGCCACGAGGGAATGTGGGTGACAGCATTTTGCGCAACACCCAAGGAGAGGTAGGACGAGAGTGGGGTGTGTCCACAATCCCTCTTTCGGAGGACACAACCGCCCGTCCCCCACCAGCATCATGCGGACACTGTATTTTCCTCTCTGATAGCAAGTAGTTGGTGCCCACGAAGCTCAATGAATCAGGGAATCGAAGGAGACCTACGGAGAAGCAAAGAATCTTCAAAGTCGTCATAATGTTAATGAAGCGTGTTCCAGCTTTGCTTTCATCACAGGAGATCGTCACATTGGAAAAGAACCTAGAGAGCCAGTACTTGCTTAGGCCTAAAGAAGATAAACACCTCACACTTCTGCAGACAAGCTATCTTCAAACCCATGAATTATCTTAGACATGCATTAAAAAAAAAAAAACCTTTGAACAATTTTCTCTCACATTATGTCGCAATTCAGGAATATCTACCAGTGATTTCAGTGACGATGTTTTATATTGATATTTTGCTTACCGTCGCCCTGCTTTTACCTGAAATATTCTTTACATTAGGGCATAAAACTAAGATTCAGCAACCTATAGAGATCACTAGTTATATAGAAACTTACCTCGCTTGTTGGGTTAGTGAGCATGTACAGTAATAGAGGAACCAAGCAAAGCAATATTCCCCCCTTCATCCCTTCTTACACTCAAAATGTTGAATAACCGTGAGGCTACTACGAGGGAAACTGATATAAAGATATAGAAAAGAGTAGCGGGGTTGATTGAATGATTTTTCCATTGGACGAATAGATAGATGGTAGGCTCCTACATTGATCAGTTTGTTTGTTTTGCCCTAGGCAAGAGATAAGCCCCAACGATAAGTGTCTTAAAAAGTAGTCATAGTTCCGAATTAAAAATGCTAAATAAGAAAAATAACACAACCAATGTAAGATATACTATGGTTCAATAAACGTGATAAGTCTTTGGGCTTCCAAGCCTTCATAAGTTCATTAGATTAATCTTAGCCTATAAAAAAGCAGATTTCCAAAGTGCAAAGCCAAATTTGTACATGGAGTAATGCAATTACAAAAATATCATTTTTCCTTCATTAAAATAATTTTAAAATTATGGCAAACCTTTAATATTGTTAGATTATAAGAGTGCAACCTTAATTTTCTTGTAGGCTTGAAACGTATGCGATTTGTTGAGGCTTACCTTACACTAGTATGATAAGGTTTTTGTTGTTTATTACAAAGGCATTGAAAGGCTCTCCTCCAATAGCTCGTAAAGTACAAGTATTTTCAGCCATTCTCTAGTTCTTGCTCTAGGAAAATGATATCGTGGAACACTTGAAGCACTTCCAAGAATGGATGCCAAGTGTAAGCTTCTAATGACTCTAGAAAGTATAACTAGTGGCAAATACTTTTGAGGCTTTAGGATGGTTTTTATTGATCACTACCATCATCTTCATCATTTTTTCATTGGGTTATGAGGCATCAGAAATCTTTTTATTTTTTTATTTCAACTCTAAATTTGGATTAGAAAACACGTTCCACTTGAAACTCATACATGGGATGCAGACAATTTGGTTTCAATCATGTTGTGATGATATAATAAATCCATCTAATATCAGGAGTCATTCATCATAAGATCATGATCGATCCTATGTGTGTTCACCTAGTGACAATAGTTACAAATTATAACTAGTGGCAAATATTTCTGAGTCTTTAGGATGATTTTTATTGATTACTGACATCATCGTCATCATTTTTTCCTTAGGTTATGAGGATCAGAAATATTTTTATTTTTTTTATCTCAATACTAAATTTTAGATTATAAAACATTTTCCACTTAAAACTCATGCATGGGATGCATGCGAAGTTGGTTTCAACAATGATGTGATCATCATAAACAATCCATTCGATATCAGGAGCCATTCATCATAAGATCATCATCAATCCTACTCGTGTTCATTCTAGTGACAATAGTTAGAAATTATAGCTAATGGCAAATACTTTTTGAGTCTTTAGGATGGTCTTTATTGATCACTATCATCATCTTCATATTATTTTTTCCTTGGGTTATGAGGGATCAAAAATCTTTTTATTTGTTTTATCTCAATACTAAATTTTAATTATAAAACATTTTCCACTTCAAAACTCATCCATGGGATGCATGCTAAGTTGGTTTCAACAATGTTATGGTCATCATAATCAATCCATTAGATATTAGGTGTCATTCATCATATGATCATTCCATGTCAACGTCAAAGTGATGTTTTTATTGATTCCCAATGATCTTTGCTAACTTCGTAATGACATTTTGATTGAAATTTATGAGAGACAATTATAAAATATATCTCAAAGTTCTTATAAATTAAATGGGCGATACTTAGGAACGAAGATGGCTGGCCATGGATCACTAGATCCATTGTCCCAGTAATCCAATTTCTTCACCATGGGTCTCTGCAAGCGCACCCTCCTCCCCTAATCAAGAAGATGTATAAGAATATGATTAGGATGAAATGTTGGATTACGATCTTAACCCTGTTCATTGATTGGGACGAGGAATAGTGGGCCCCACAGTGTAGTCGGGAAGCGGATGTCTATCCAACTTCCCAAAAGCTTCCAAGAAAATTCCAGAAATGGTCATCATTCAGGAAATGCTTCCAACATTAAGTTGACCGGAGCCGTCGCGAAGTTTCAAATGTTCTCGACGCCGGATGCTTGCGATTCTCCTCCGTCGTGGGAGACAAGAAACGGTGGCGGCGGCGGCGGGTGAGGAGGGAGGTGGGGGGGAGGGAGGAGATGGTTCTGTGGGAGATCACGGTGGCAACGGCGTACTTCCTGGGGCTGAAGAGGACGTACCGGCTGGCCCTGAAGCTGCAGCGGCGGGTGGTCAGCACCCGGCACCCTAGGCTCCGCGGCTTCCTTCACAGGTAGGAACGTCCCTCCGATGACGCCACCCCTTCGCCGGAACCCTAGGCATCCGGACCTTCCTCATCGTTGCACATCGCCGTCCCCGTCGGTTTTTCTTCCCTGAGTGCTTTTCGTAGTGCGCTTATGGAAATATGAACTTGAGATTCGATTGCATGAATGCCGAATGTGGCGAATTCCATCTGGTTGTTGGAAGAGATCGTCGGTCCTGTTATCGGCGCCGGATTAGCGACAGTGTTTAGGTTGATTGCCGATTGCGGATTCAGCGAACTGGGAATTTGGGTATCTGAGGTGATTGGTGATCGATTCATGGTGGTGCTTCTCGTTTATATTGCGGTTGTTTCTTCTTCCATTGCTGCTGCTGCTGCCGCATTATTTTTTGTGTTCATTTCCTTTACTTTCTCTCTTGGACCTTGAGAAACTTTTATTCACCTTCAAAGACCAAGATACTCGCAAACAAGTTGCGTTGCCCGCCGGATGAATCAGTGTTTGACTAAAGTAGTTTTAGATGGAATGATTTTTAAAAAATATTTATAAGGAAAATCCGATATTTTTTTCTCTGCATGTAGAATCATTGAAATATATCCAAGGAAGAAAAGTAAAACGCTGCATCCAAAGAAGAGCACCCTCTCTGAACAGAATAACATTTGGACTGAACAGTCGTCCAGAATTTGGTCACAGTTTAATCAATGCTCCATATAATCAAAGATCTGGCTGCCATAAACGAGTCTGTGAAAATAAGTCCATCCATAGGCGTGCATTACTGGTGTTGAGAATCTGCCCCCTCCATCATCAGCATCTAGATCCATTAGAAAATCTTATGGCATCCAGGGCATCAATATTGGTCCATTCTCTACCGGTCAATCTCCCTTGTCCAAAATCATCTTCAGTTATAAAAAATGATGAACGGATCCTTGATCTTATTAACTTAAGGTTGATGCCACTCAATGTTTTTCACGGTATAGCTAGTAGGAATAAATTCAAACACTTCCCAAAATTGGTCTAGAGGGAATAATCAAAGCTCAGAATGCGGAAACCAGGCTGATTAGAGTGCAGCAAGCTTAGGTGCCTTTATAGTGCAGAACCCCCTCAATCTCATATTTTGGTTTTATGCTGAAATTTATGAGGTCTTGTCAAATCTTTGAAGCCCCTTGGCAGGCTGGAAACCTACCTTGCAGATACAATTTAGGTTCACCATCAAGATATTATACATATTTCAGAGCAGGTAAAAATATATTAGAATGGTAAAAATAAATTGCTAGCCTGGAACGTCAAATAGTTCTTAGGTTCTTACCAAAGTGGTTGGTGACGTTGGTCAAAATTCGTTGGACAGTCTCAATAATCAGTCTTTCTCAGGTTAACGATGTTATGCCCATTAACTTTAATTGAAATATCTGACTATTCTTAGCTTACCTAACATATCCAAAATAAGGGATAAGGAACAGAACAGCACTTCTTTAACCAGAGACCAAGAGACTGTGAGGCAGATCTGGTGAAGAGAAGGTAGGAGGTCTGAATTCCTGGAGGTTGTTTGGCGATTGACCTCTAGAGGTCCCTATCCCTATTTGACCCAGCATGGGGGTTGACCGTCTCTGGATGTGTTGTTGATTATGTTCAAAAAATGTCTCTGTCATGTGGATTATGAACAGTTTCGTCAATCATTTAATAACAAAAATAAACTTTTGCCAATTCAAAAGTGCATAAATGGTTTTTTTCTGCATGGCTAGAACGAATTTTATGGCATGGTCGAAACTATCATCCGCCATCAGATTTCACCAGTGAAAAACTCTGATCAAATTCAAAGCTTTGTTCTGAAACAACAAAATGGTGACCGACAGCAGAGCAGGATCTATCTGGGCAGCTCACCTCTCCTATTGGAAAGAACACTCAGCTGACTTTTTCTCTCCATTGAAACTGCCTGGTTTGTGTGTATATATGCATATGAACATTAAAATATTAATAGAGATTCTTTTCTATACTGCAGAAGAGTCTTCGTGTCATTCTCTCTCTCTCTCTCTCTCTCTCTCTCTCTCTCTCTCTCTCTCTCTCTCTCTCTCTCTCTCTCTCTCTCTCTCTCTCTCTCTTTCTCTCTCTCTCATTCACACAATTCTCTGGTTCTCCCTCAACTTTTATGCCTCTGTTCACCTGATTTCGTTGTTATGGTGCAGGCGGACACGTGTTGCATTCGACATCGCCCTAACTGTTCACAGAAAGATCCAGGAGAGGGACATTGAACTCGGACGGAGCGTGGGGAACTCGATCCTCCGCTGGCTTGACCACATGAAGCCATCAGCAGAGATACGACTGCCAGCCGACAACCTGCCCCGGCGTGTGGCAAACTCCATGGAGGCCGCTCGAGGCAAGGGACCAGTCAGCACTAAGCCTGCCCCACGTGACTCCCACCGCAGCCTGTTTACTGCACCATGGCACCTGGCATCTCGCTCCTTTCCCACCATCTCTGTGATGATGCGCCTGCCAGCACCTGCGAGTGCAAGCTCCCAGCATAGGCGCATATCCTTTCATGAGCCTCAGAGATTTGAGGGCGTGTTCAGGGAGGACATCGCCCGGTGGATGCAGGAGCCTCGATGAGCTCTGTAATTATCTGCTTTGTTCGCCTTCTGTCCCTCTACTGTGAGCTTCCAGTTGACCTCAATGGGCCTCTGTCGTTGACCATGTTACTAAGGTTGATATCTAAGTGTTACTGTCATGCCGGTGAATAGAATCTCCAATGATCTCAGTAATTATCTGCTGTGTTCACCATTTGTTCCTCTATTGTCAGTTTTTGGTTGACCTCAATGGGCCTTTGTCGTTGACCACATTACCAAGGTTGAATTCTAGGGGTCACTGTTATGTTGGTGAACAAGTGAACAGAAGACATACCTCAATTATTGTGTCGTGTGCGGCCTTGGATGCTCACTTGACACTTAAGCAGTCTTCTTCCCTTCCAATTGGACTTGTGGAAGCTACTGCTCAAAGGAGATATTCACTCTAACCAAGAGATACATTGGTAGAAAGAGGGAACCACTTGATTGTTACTCTCACTCTACCTTAGATGGAAGTGGGACCCTCTTATTTATGTGGAAGGGCCACCTTTGCCTATTCCCCACAATACCCCTTATGAGATAAATGGTTCCATCACCCTTGATGGGACGTCTAAATAATGTGGAGCTTGTTAAATGTCCCTTTGCTACCATCAGGATTGGTGATTAGGTTGCTTTCATAAGGGATTAATTTCATGGGTAAAGTTAATGTGAAAATAATTTAAGTCAAATAATCACAACCTCTCTCCTCCAACCTTCAAAAGTCTGTGATTGAGAGATGGAGAGATAGAGCCACCAAAGAGAGAAAATGGGAGAACGGTTAATGCCCTTATTTCACTTATTGCCCAAAGAGAGATTCGGATTAGGCTTTATCGGGCGCTTGCGCCATGTTGTTTGTTTTTGTCAACTGAAGTCGCGTAACGCCAACTGATAGCTGATAGAGCAGATAGAGCGCGGAGCCCCGGCTTTCTCCAAGTGTATTATTGCAAAGTTGAGAGTGGATATTCAGTCTCCGCTAAGGGAAGTTCCTTATGGCACTTGAGAGTGAAAAGGTCAACCAAAATGCGATCTTAGGATTTTCTTGGGTGTGAAAAATGTAAACTTATATATTCTGGATTGATTATAGCTGAAACTGATTTTCAAGACCAATATCCTCAAGTTGTTGACTGTGAAGTTATTTCATTGATTGTTATGATATTTGTCATGTTAGCTGTAGAAAGAATCAAATCAGCCTAAGCCACAATCGGTTGGGCTAGTTTGGTTCATTGTTGACGAAGATAACATGGGCTGACTAAAATGGGTTGGACTGACTTAAGACAAAGAAACCATCATAATAAAGAAAATAAGTACAATGCTTGACTCTTGACAACCTCCCTCAAGTTGAAGAATGTATATCATCCAATCCCAACTCAAATAATAGTTGATGAAAATTATTGTACCCCAAGACTTTGATAAAGACACCTATAACTTAATTAATTGTTAATATCTGCAGTGTACAAATTAATCCACTCTCCAATTTTTCCTTAATGAATATTGATCAATTTCTATAAGTTTGGTTCTATCATATTGAATTAGATAGTGCAAAAAAAAATATTGTTGATTTATTATCACAATGATTTTTTATTGATTCATCCAATTCAATCTTTTAGTCCTTAAGAATAATCTTTTTACCAATATTACTTCACATATTTCTATAAGATCAGAATTCTATTTTTGTACTTGACTTCGCCATCACATTTTTTTTTCTTACTTTTCTAGGTAATTAGATTCCCACCAAGAAAAGTGTAATATCTTGAAATCTACATTAGTGTAGACTTAAAGTGATAATCACACACCTTATTTGAATAATGTCTTTTTCTAGCATTCCTTTGAATAAATGTGGTACTCAATGAACTTTAGATGTGTTTATTATGGATTTTGCATACATTAACTAACCATAATCACTACATAAATAATATCATGACATGTATGAGACAAATAAATGTCTCTCTACCAATGTGTGATACACTATCCTCTCTACCTCTTCTTATTTTTTAGTTTCACCACGTTCAAGATTTGAATCCATTATTGTATTTCCTGGTTAACAACTAAGTTTATCTATTTTATTTAAGAGATCTATGATATATTTTTGGAAATGAAAATATCTTATTTAGAATTACTTACATTGATTCTAAGAAAGTACTTTAGCCTTCCTATTATTTTGATTTCAACTTTTTAGCTAAGCATTGGATCATTGATGAACTTGATTTAAAGGTTAGATATGTTGTCGTGATGTAACTAAATTTATGTAAATAATATTTATTAAATCTTACACTTTTGTTTAGGATAAGTAAGGGTTGATCCTCAAGAAGCATGGGTAATTACAATAAGAATTTAAATTATTTTATTTCTTATATATATATTCTTGAGATTGTGAAAGGTGAAATTAAATGTAAAAAGAGTGAAGAGAAGAGAAATGAAAAGTGTGGCAAAGGGGAGAGAATAAATCTAATGCAATGGAATGATAGAATAAATGGTAAAACTAGTTTTAACTAAGAGTTAATATATCCATAAAGAAGATTATAAGGACGCTCATATCTAGATCTTGTCTAGACCTTGTTGTGCACCAATTCTAGGCCCAATCATGCTTAATCTATGATGATCTTAATGCGCTCTAAGTAATCTCTTCTCCACGACAATTTTGAGCACAAAAATACTATTGACCAGGCCTTTATTTCTTTTCTTTTTCCTTCGACTAGCCACTGCGAGAGAGAGAGCTAAAAAATGTCTTCTAAGAGGGGGACAAGATACCTTAAACCTCTAGATAATTAAGCCCCTCTAATAGATAATTATGATTAATAAATGACTCTCTTGATGGACAATCTAGATTCTTCTATAAGAGTGGCATTTTAATCCTCATCTTAATCTCATCTTAAGGTGTCTTAAGATGGGCGACTTAGATCTCATCTCTTGATAATCCTTATAAGTCTAAATGAGCTAGGCCAAGGTGACACCCTCTCTTGAGCCCATAAACATATTAAGCCAGCCCTTTTCATAAAACTTGGGCTTTTTTCATTACTTCCAAGTCGTAATAAGAGCTTACTTCTTAACAATCAAATAATTATCAAAAAAATGTGAGAGAATCATCACTTGAATTCATAAAAGTCAAGTAGAGTTAATCTTATAATATAAATGAAACAAATAAAATAATATATATTATGACTTAAATAATAAAATATTATGAATGTCATAATGAGTTCATAACACATATATAATTACATTCTCTACTTATTAATTAACATCTATGTATAAGATATTAATGCATAGATATAACTACTAATTTATAATTAGCAATCATATATTTTCCTTCACTTGATTTTCAATCACAGTTATATTACAAAAATACACTAATAATATTATTATTTCTCCTCAAGATAAGTACTTAATAAATAATATATGATTTACTTGAATTTTTTTATATCCCATCACAATCATAATTTTAGTTAATTGACTGTATCAAGTTTTAGATGATTGCTTAGGTTCATATAATGTCTTTTTCAATTTACATACCATATTAGGAACTAAATCAGCTCTATAACCTAGTGGAACTTGCATGTAAATTTCTTCCTCAAGATCTCCATATAAGAATATATTCTTAACATCAAACTATTGTATATCCTAGCTAAGATTAATTTCTAATAATAACATAATTTTAATTGTATTTATTTTCACTACATGAGAAAATGTCTTATAGTGGAAAATTCTATATATTTGAATATATCCTTTGGTGACTAAGCTAGACTTATATCTCTTAATAGATTCATCTGCAAAATAGTTCATTGTATATACTCATTTGCAACCAATAACTTTCTTTTTACTTGGTAATTTCACTAATTCTTAAGTATTATTCTACTCTAGGGCCTTTAGTTCTCCATTCATATATTGTTTCCACTCCTCACTGGATAATTATTCAGCAATTGCAATAGGGATCGTGATGGTATTTAAATTGTTAAGAAATTTTCTATGGAACAATGAAAGACAATAATAAGACATTCTTTTAAATGAGATATAGAAGTTTTCTATTATATTGTCTAGTTTCTTTCCTAATAATGATAGATAGAATTCCTTCTTGACTAATATAAAGCTTAGCTTCAATTAGAACAATTAAAGGAGAATTTTGTGTTTTATTCATGTGAGGTTCTTGACCAAATGTATCTAAGTTTGATTCTTTGATATGTAGTTTTATGACATTTTCTTGAATGAGGTTAATAGTATCACAAGTTGTCTTAGTAAATGGAAAAGGTGAAGAATTCAGGGTAAATTCACCATTAGACACATTACCCAATAGAAAAAATAGAGTCAGACACATTACCCAATATGTCTAATCATGTTCCACAATGTCTTGTCATAGATTGAACACAAATTAACACCAAATGAGCCATCAAGATGTGAATTAAATTTGTTCTCAACTTTTGGATGTGAAGGGCATTATATAGGATAAGTAAACAAAGTGAGGTGAATATTTTCTATGCTCACAACAATAAAAGTAAGAAGCCTTCAATAGTGATGTGTTAAGATATGGACTATAAAAAATTATTAAGATGAATTTGTCATATGTTCAGTGGCTCATGAGTTTATAATCTAATAATTTAGGAAATTAGAAGAGAAATTAATATGTAAGACAATAAGTTTATGTAGGAATGAAAACTCACCTAATTGAACTAGCAAGCATTTCGCAAAAAATATTTCTATAAGATCAATGGAGGCCAAGTGAAACACCAAGAGGGGGGATGAATTGTGTTCTATGACTTTCTGTCAATTCTCATTTTATGTTTATCAATGGATGTGCTGACATGTTATCTCATAGCTCTCTCTTTTAGTAGACATTCTCTTAATACTCTCACTCTTTCGATGAAGGTTCTCTCATGATTCTCTTCACTAACAAAGACACAAACTTTTTATATTGATTTTCTCTTCACTTAGCTACTTTCAATCCAATAAGATCATTCCCACATGAGTTTATTATTTTCACTAAGAAATACACATTGATTTTAACATGATTAGTAACCC